TAGCCGGTTGAGCCACAGGCGCCGAGCCCAGATAAGTCAAATTTAAAGAGAAGTCCTTTTATTGAAGAGCTGGCTGGCAACTGCCTCAGTGTCCCAACATGGGGTTTCTGAGAGCAGCCCTGAGTACTTAAGAGGTTGGATCTTTTAAGGCTTGGTCTACATCCTGGTTGGCACGCAGGCAGCCCAGGTGTATCTGGGTAGGTTAGCAAGCATTGTACAGAAGCAGAATTTTACGGTTAGTCATACATCTTTGTTTCAGTACTTTTTCCACCTGGTATTTCTTAAAGGTCAGTCTGGGGACAGTTGGTACCTCCTAGTCCATTTCTCAAGAAGTTAGTTAAGCAAGAAGTCAGTGAGGACTTACCTTTTCCATCTATCTTGGGAGTGAACCAGACTTACTCCATTTTGTTGAGGGCTTGCAGCCCATAAATTTGCTAGGAGTTAGCTTTTCTACCTTAGTCTAGGCCTAATAGTATATGCCTCATATAATTAGAACTTTACAGTATTTGCTCTCTTGTGTCTGGCTTATTTCATTCAGTATAATGTCTTCCAGATTCATTTATGTGATAGCATGTGTCAGAATTTCCTTTGTTTTTGTTTTTTTTTTTAGAGACAGGGTTTCTCTCTCATCCAAGCTGGAAGCTGGAGTGCAGTGGTGCCACCATAGCTCATTGCAGCCTTGAACTCCTGGGCTCAGTTGATCTTCCTGTCTCAGCCTCTCAAGTAGCTAAGATACAGGAATGTACCACCACACCTGGCTAATTTAAAAAAAAAAATTTTTAGAGACAGGATCTTGCTACATTTCCCAGGCTGGTCTCAAGCTCTTAGCCTCAAGCAATCCTCCTGCCTCAGCCTCTCAAAGTACCAAGACTACAGATGCATACCCCCATACCTAACTAATTTTTAAATTTTTTGTACAAATGGGGTTCTCACTATGTTGCCCAAGCTCTTCTCAAACTCCTGGCCTCAGGTGATCCTCCTGCCTTAGCTTCTCTGGTATGTGGGATTATAGACATAGAGCCCCTGCACCCAGCCAGAATTTTACTTCTTTTAAAGACTGAATAATATTCCATTGTATAGATACTCCAGATTTTGCTTATTCATTCATCTATTGATGGACATATGAGTTTTTTTCACCTTTTTGGCTTTTGTGAGTAATACAGATATGAATAAACATGGGCATACAGATTCTTGTTCATGTTCTTGCTTTCAGTTCTTTTGGGAACCCAATCAATACTGGAATTGCTGGGTCATATAGTTTTTCTATATTTAAGCTTTTGAGGAAATAAGTTTTGTTTTCTCTTTTTTCTTTCTGTTTATTTATTATTTATTTATTTGGGGAGATACAGACAAGATCTCATTCTCTTCTCCAGATTCTTTCTTTTTTTTTCAATTATTATTTTTATTTATTTATTTTCTTGAGACAGAGTCTCAAGCTGTCACCATGGGAAGAGTGATGTGGCATCACAGCTCTCGGCAATCTCAAACTTTTAGGCTTAAGCGATTCTCTTGCCTCAGACTCCCAAGTAGCTGGGACTACAAGTGCCTGCCACAATGCCCACCTATTTTTTGGTTGCAGTTGTCATTGTTGTTTAGCAGGCCCAGGCCAGGTTCAAACCCACCAGCCTTGGTGTATGTGGCTGGCACCATAACCACTGTGCTACAGTCACCAAGCCTATTTCTTTTTTATTTAATCCATCAAGATATCCACACGGGCCTAATAGCTTTTCCTTGTTAACCCAAAGCTGAATGCATTATCCTTGAGAAGGGAAATACCTAGTATCAGTGAATTGCCATCTTTTTTGTTAAAGCAGAGGCAAAAACTATTAGTTTAATTTCAGCAGATCATTCTGCTTTGGAGAAGAGAGGAGAAAAGCAGAATAAAGTTATGCTGACTATACAGAAATTTAGGACATGAAACAAAAAGCAGAAGCAGATAGATAGAAGACAGAAAGGAGTTGAGCGTGAGGCTTCAGCGTGATTTCCCCAGCTCCAGGTTGCTCTAGAGTGGCTCTCAGTAGAGAATTCCTCCCTACTTCTGAACTCCAAGAAGCCTGACCCAATTACAACCTCTCTCCTTGATTTCTGTGAGACTCCATTTTCTTTTCTTTTTT